ACACTTGCACACACACACACACATGTGTCTTCTATTTACTTTTGCCCACGAAACTGATTTCCTCTCTATGTGTGAAATAATATTAAATGAATTAAACAATTGTTTTTGTTGTTGTAATTTTTTGTTTTATTATTTTTTTTTCAATTACTTTCAATTTTCCATTAACCAACAATAGTTTTTCCGGCACTTTCTTAACTTTTATTCAACGCAACACTCTCTCTCGAACATCCACTTTGAAACTGAATTGTCAGCATTGATGATGATGACGGTGATGGTGTTGTTGTTCATTGGGGGTTAAGTGGAGCTCTCTCTCTCACACACACACGCTCTCAGTGCATGGGTACAAGGCAGAGAGCAATGCACAAAGGCACATTTACCATGCCGTGGCAGAGAACAAACGAACGTAAGCATGACAATAACAACAAAAACAACGAATGTTAGTAGCTGGCTGTCATTAGTGTCAAAACAGAAGTTAAAACAGGGTTACCCTAACGTTTGGCTTTATGTGGATGAAATGAAAACAGAAGTGGGTTTCTTATAAGAGGTGTTTTTATTGTTAATATTGAGAAAAAGAAATTTTCGAAGACCAACACAACAAATAATGCTTATTTTAAAGGATATTTTTCAAGGACCAAGATAGCAAAAAGAGTGAGATTTATAGGATATTTTTTAGGGATCAAGACAGCTAGAAGAGTGGGTATATTCAAAAGATATTTTTCAATAGCCAACACAGCCATAAAACAGCTGGTACATTAGAACTTTTTACCGGCTTATGGTGTTATTACACAATATGTATTTTACATATGTGCTGTCACTTTATTTACATATCGTTAGCTGAAATGCAAAAAGGCGTAACTAACAAAAGCATAATTGTGTAGGAGAAGCAAAAAACAGTTTTCAATGAAAACTATAAACATGTCAAAAAAATAAAAAAAATAGTATGCTCGGCAGGGTGATATGTGCATATGACAAATAATAGACTATAATTTTTTTAACAAATTTAGTTATTTAGATTAATGGCAGTCATAACAATTAAGTAAAAAATTTGAATTTTTGTTAGTTATGCCTTTTTATTTTTTGTTAATAGACTGCAGACGTGTAAAACTTTGTCAACACATGTAGTTTATTGACATTCACAATAGATTTTCAATTCAATTTTCAATTTTTTTAGTTATGCCTTTTTGCATTTTAGCTAACTATATGCAACTCGAAATCGTCATGTGAAACATACGGAAATTTCAATGTGTCAAAACGATATGCAATTACATATGTAATTTTCGTATGTGAAACATAAGGAAATCAGCTGTTTGAATGAAACACATTTAGTCTGTTCCCGTACTGCAAGAATCTACTAATTTTTACTATTTTTTCCGATATCATAAAGGAAAAATTGTTATCGTAGTAAAAACTAGGAGATTCTTGCAGTACGGGAACAGACCAATTGTTGGAACAAAATATTTCAATTGCAAGTCAAAGAAAAGGATGAAAAGGCAACAATTACAAATTATTATTTCGTTTGTAGGTGTTTAATAAAAAAAAAATGATGTTGACTTAAGAAAAAATAAAAGTGTTTTTTTTTTGTTTATAGGTTGTCATATGTAAAATACATATGCCGATTTGAACACAAAAAATAAAAGTTTTGTGTACGCTGCTAATTTTGACACATAAAAAGGAATAAATGACAGCACATATATAAAATACATATCATGTAAAAACACCATTAACCTTATGAGGATTTATATGACATCATGGCATAACTATACAAGGTAGTCTCATTTGAGAAATTGATAATGGCAACCCTTCTTAATATAGAATTTATATACATATCCAAGGTAAATATATAAGGTAGACGCATCGGCGAATTGGGAACATAATATGTCAAAATTGTTATCAAGACGAATAAATATGAATTCGCCTTCTATTTTTCCACCAATCAGAAGAATGCATTTTTGAAGTTTTTTAAAATATTTATTTACCTTATTTAAATTTGTGTGCTTTTACGTAAATTGTAAATTTATGAATTAAAAATAGCATAAAATTTAAAAATAATTCGTTAACGTTAAGTAACTGATGACAAGGAATACATTTTTGGAGATGCGAAGACGTGGACCCATTTTGAATATTTTTCTACGGCAACACCTCAGCATACCAAACTCAACATACATATGTGAAAATCTAAGGTTCGAAATAACAACCAAATGACTGAAATCGGGACGTACATATCATTGTTTGGAATCGAAGATAGAGAGTTTTGCAAGGAAATTTGTATTCGATAAAAAAAACCAAAATTACAAACTGAATTCTAACAATGCTTAACAATAAAACTCCAGAATCTAGTTCTGGTTTCCTTTATCAATATCCTTAGCATATGTATTGTCTATTCTGATGGTCTCATTTGAAGATTAACGCTTCGCTCTTCTATTACTGATATTGTTTATAATATGGTATATAATGAAAGGATTTTTACGTGAAATACGCCACCAATCGTTATATAAAGTCCAACAATAGATTCTTATAAAAATCCAAAACGCTCTTCTCGTGTAATAGTAATGGTCTTCCTATAGAAGTTCATGTGAAGGTATCCTAGACATGACTTATATTTTTTGTTTCTTCGGAATTTGTCTTCTTTCATTTTTAATTTTATTTCTGTTTTTTTTTTTTTTTTATTTTTTTACGGCGATTTCAAGAATAACAACTTTTTGTGATATATAATGTTACCATCAGCTGGCTTGATACGGTTTCCTTATTAATATACCTTGTACATATCAATTTCAAATAAAATGAAAAATAAATTCCATAAAATTTTACGCATGGCGATTGGCAAATTTTAAACAAATTAAAAAATATATTTTTTTCTAACAGTACGTTTACATTTAACCGGATTTCGTTAACCCAGTGGGTTTCAATTGTCAATTCCTTTGCATATATGTCAAATAAATCCTCATAAAGTAGGTTAACCCGGAAAAAAGTTCTAATGTATTTGCCGTTTAAAGCTCCACATTGTGCTCAAGATTTAACTAAAAATGTTGCAATTAGATCAAATCGAGATATTTACTGAATTTAATTTTATATGGTAAATCGAGGTAAATTCAGCCCGATTTACCAATTAAATCGAGATAATGCAATTTATTACTATAAAAGCTATAATCTAATCTCAGAGAAACATATTTTGCTTCATGTGTGGCAAGCCAAATATGATAACTCCTAAATGTTCCAATTGTAGATAGGGAAACCCGAAAGAACCTGGTTGCCGCGGGGAACCTACGTTCCGTCGAATCCGAACCCTCAACTTAATTAGAGCGTGAGGAAGATAATTACATAAATTATGCTAAACGTCGTAATTAAGTAAAGACTAGAGAAGAACATGATAATAAAGTTAGGTCAAGAATATTTAACGACCAGGTACAGATCGAACTGTTGTTGTTGTAGCAGCCCTATTGCTTTTACACAATGGACTGAGGTGACAGACGTTGGCCGAGAAATACTCGAGTCGTTTCCGATTGTAGACCACTCTGTCGTAGAAACGAGTTCCAACTGTGGATCCAATAAGAATTTACTTGCAGCTTTTCTCAAAGGTGCAAGTTCCGGTTGAGATTTTTTCCAGGGTAAAGGTCTGGGTTAGAAGTCTTATAACATCTGGAGTCTCATTTGCTAATCCCGCGGCTTTTTAATGCTCTTGCGGTTTAAGGGCATACTGGCCAACGGTTGCGGATGAGGTTCCAATAAGGTTTCTGTTTTACTATATTTGTAGCAATCTTGCGGTTTAAGGGCATATGGGCCAACGGTTGCGGATGAGGTTCCGATTAGGTTTTTGTTTTACTCTATTTGTAGCAATCTGAAGGAATATTACACTGTGATTCAAAAGGGAGCATATCCTTTAGTTCCTAACCATATAGTCGTGGATATTTTTTGAAAGTGATGCTAATTATCTCGGCTCTCATTCCATTAGAAAATGGAAACATTGATTTTAATCAATGGAATCCGAGAAAAAATAAATGTCTACAAAGTTTTATTTTCTTTTTTTTAATTATTTATTAAAATATATAAGTGTTTATAATTATATATCATATATAAATGTATGGTTGGTTTTATTTTTTTTTCAATTTCATATTATTATTAATTGTTTTTTTATTATATTTACTTTTTACTACAATAAATTGAAAGTGAACTGAATTTTAATAGAGCATTTTATATAGTAATTTGTTGTTGTTTTGTTTTTTACGTTGTATAATTAAGCCGGTACAAAATGTCATTAATATTTAATTGATAGCATAACAATTCAAAATTATGATTTTTTGCGTTAGATTTATAATTTTATTTTTTTATATTGTTATTGTAAAATGTATAATGTAATAAAAAATAATGGTACAGTTGTTGTTTTATTGATGATAATATTTATGCTAAGAAGAAAAAACAAAACAAATATATTTCATATAATTATTTTTTGTTCATTTAGTTTTTTTTTTTGTTTATGGTAGTAACTTTAAAAGTTGTCTTTAATGCAAAATTACAAAATAAGATAAATTAAAAACATATTTGTTTTCTATATAAGAGTTGTCGTTTTTATGAAGATTATATAATTAAATTAAAAAAAAATAAACACAAGCTTTAGAAACATTCGGTTCAAGAGTTAATATGGCAAATTAAAAAAAAATATATTAAAGGAAACAAAACTATATTTTTTAAATATGAACTTAAAATATTCAAAAAGAAATTGTTCAAAGAAAAAAATTTTTTACAAAAATACATTTAGGGAGAGAAATATAAAGGGAGGAAATAGTTAAACAAATAACAATAAAAAGGCACACGAAAAAGAAAGGTTAATTGAAATTCCAAAACAAAGGTTCGTATATATGTGTACATTGGTACAAAACTAGAAAAAACAGAAATAAAGTTTTTATTTTTGGTTTTTGTTTTACGGAAGAAAGCAAAATTTGTTTTCTAAAAAACACACACACACACCATTTACTTAGGTGTTTCCAAAACGAATTTTCGAAGACTTAAACCATTTTCCCTGTTCTACTGTTGACCAGCTCTTCATCATCATCGTCCAAATTCTCATCATCCGAATCACCATCACCGTTCATTATATACTCTTGACGTTCATCGACGGTGGGTAATTTCTGAGATTTCATACGCAGCTCAAATACTTCACTAATGGCATCACGGAAACACATAAAATTATAATCGATAACACCCTGCCGAATGAAATTCTCTTCGCGCAATATACAAACAAGGGCCAGGAATTTATTCACTTCACGCAGATAGAGTATTGTGTTATTATTCAATTTGATGAGACTAGAACTTTGATTATCGAAAGCATCCTCTTCGGAACTGTAAGAAGAAAAACAAAAAAAAAATATTTTGAATAATATCGATAACCGAAAATACAATTCTACTAACAATCCTTTTTTTCGATATCATAAAGGAAAAATTGTTATCGTAGTAAAATATTTTCGCAGGTTCGGGAAAAATATATATTTTTGGTACGTTTTTTTCAATTAAATAGAGTATCCCCCTACTAATAATTAATATTGGTCCAGGTTTCAGGATAGACCCCACATAACAGGAATTCCAATTTGGCTCTAATGTGATATTTTGGTTTTCCATTGGATGCCAAATATCGTTACCGCAACTGTGGGGTTTACAAGCCGAAACAACCCGAGTCTTGCTAGGGATAAGTAAATCGACTTTCGACTAATCGACTTTCAGTATGGAAAAGTCTAAAAGTCGAAGTCGGCGTTTGATCTTTGAGAAAATCGCAAAGTCGACTTTCGATTTTCTTCATAAATATTTGTTTTATTATCATGAAGCCCAAATTACCCAAAAATTACACATTCCAGAACTCTATTTCATGTGATTTTGCATTAGTCGGTAAAAGTCGAAAATCGATTTGGATAGGTTTGATAAAATCGAAAGATTGTAAAGTCGACCTTTTATTCAAAGGCAAAAGTCGAAAAGTCTAAGAGTTGACATTTTGTTCATAGGCAAAAATCGAAAAGTCTAAAAGTCGACTTTTAAGCTCAACTACGTATCCCATTGTGTAAAAGCAATAGGACTGCTAGAGCACCAACAACCAAAATATATCGATATCAGTCCATGTTTTGGTATAGTCCTTATATAACGGTTCGCTCAACTTCGGTGTTTTGGCCAAATTTTCTAATCTGGGGTTTTTTATTGGCAGCAATTTACTATGTCATAGCTCCCTTATAATGGCCCCAATCGATTTTAGATATATTGATGAATGTCTATATCATGTTTAACCGTATAATGGTATTTTCACTTGTTTATCTCATTTTTCTTTGAATACCAAAATAATTATTTTATATAATTGTCCTTATTTCAAATCGTCACCGTTAGCACACATTTATTTTCCATGTGTATAACAATTATGTAGCTATAAAATATAGCTGTTATACTATACCAAAAAATGGTGAATTTGTCTAATGTCTAACAGTTATAAATAATGACATATACCAAAGCTTGCTGCTATGAAATTATAATGTTATTGGCAACACTTGCCTTTAAGGTAGATGTCTCCGCTACGTGTGAGGCATTGGCAACTCATAACGTAAATATGTTTTATAATTTATTATAGAACAATTTGATATGGATTGGAGGCTATATGTTTCAAAATCTTATTTTTTCAATTTCAACTTACCTATATATACTCGATAAATCGATAACAACATCTATCATATCACAACATAGTTCATAACTTTGCATATCGACCGGTGAACAATCGGTTGCAATGTAAATTTTTGACACCACATCGAATAGAAATGCCTTTTCAATGCCAGAATTCTAAAACGGAATTTCAATTAAAAAATAATAATATTAAAAAAAAAAAAAATTAAATGTTCTCACTTACCGATATAAAAATATTGAGCAAATTTTCTAATGTCGGCAATTGGGGTATTAGCTTTTGTACCACCTTCGAAAAGGCCTCAAATATCGAATGATCATAGATGGAAGTCAAGTGAAAACTTAAATGGATTTGCGTTAGGCCAGCATCGGCTAGATCATCGGAGGCTCGTTGATGTATATCACGCTGGGATTCCATTTTTGTGTCATCGCTAATGCCATCGACCTGGAATATATAAAGAGATGTGAAAATTTACAGTTAAGTGCTTGAGAATAATTAAGATAAAAATACAAAAAAAAAAATCACTTAAATTGTTTTATATAAAAATTGTTTTATATAAATAAATTATTCTGCTATATTTATAAATATAAAAAAAAAATAAAATTTTTAAAAAACATTTTACGACTGTTTGAATATTTAAAATTGTTTATCATTGATAAAATAAAAAAACATAATAACATTGTTTTTAATTTAATTAAAATAAAATTAAAAATAATTCAAAAATTAAATAAAAATAATTGTTTTTAAAAGTATTTGTTCTAACAATTGGTCTGTTCCAGAACTTTTTTAATAGTAAAACTAGTAAAAGGGAAACATTTCAAAATCGCTCTCAGAGTATAACATAATTTAAAAAAGTTCGGGAACGCAAATCTAGTAAATATGCCAAAATTAGATGGCAATACTTCCAAAACACCCAATCAGAAGTAGGCATTCCTGTTTACCATTTTTACTCGGTAAAAGGTTTACAAAGAGAACGCCATTTTGTTTTGACTCATCAATTTTCGACGCTTTCAATTGACACAGTTGCAAATAAAGTCCTTGCCTATTTGGGTAATACGGACGTCTAACAAGCCGTATAAAGGTGAGAAGGTGAGTATTTTTGTACGGAGCGCAATAAATTAGGTACGACCCTAATAACTTATTATATATTAATTTTTGTCTAGGTCAACAATTTTGTTTTATCCCATATCCTACATGCTGATAATAAATCCCTATTATCAATTATCTGAACATTGAACTCTGTTATTAAAACTGTAAGTCCCCCCGCCAATTTGTCACCAACAATATTGAGGGAAAAAAAGACATATTTATGAAGCCATATAAGTGCTGTTGATTTGCATTGTTATCAACAGTACATGAATTGTATGGTTGTATGTTCATATTACCAGGCCAGTAGATTATAGTAGACATGAAACTGCAGGGCAAACAAAGGTTTTATTCGCAATGAACAACATTGGTGTGTATGTAAAACATACAAACTAATAAATTATATGGCAAACACAAATTCCAATAAATGCCAATTTTTGTTTTACTGACTGACACTACTACTACTGGCACTTCCGAACTTGCAACATCATATATTAAATTTTGCGATCTCTATTATAATTTAAAAGACACACATCGAAATAGGAGACGCCATAAAGTATAAAGAATATTCTATGTCGATTTGTACATGTCCGTTTGTTAAAATCACGATATAGATTGCAATATTTGAGATATAGCTTTGAAATTTTGCAAATTGGGTATATCGGTCCACGTTTTGGTATAGTTCCCATATAACAATACGTTATTATGGGGATTTTTGAAACGTTGTTCAAACGAATTGGCTGTAATTTGCTACGTTTGGTTCTTATTGGATGAGGCTCCGAGAATCGGATGCCTGAAAATCGCCAGGTCTTCACAGACGGGTCAAAGATGTAGGAAGGCACTGGTGTAGGATCTTTGTAGCGTTTTTCAAAACACTTACTGCCGATAATACGGGACCGGTGACTATATATGTGATAGTCAGGCGGCCTTCAAACACAAAGGCTGCTCTGTATTTTATACGACGGATAGTTAATTTATGTTGGGTTCCAGGACATAGCAACATAGAGGGGAATGAGATAGCCGACGAGCTTGCTAGAGGGGGTTTCCGATTGAGAGATCTTGGCTATTTCTTTGGCAAAATCCGCTTGATCTACGGCGAAGTAGTCGGCAACAGATGGTCAAGAGAACCTGGTGGCAGAATCTCGAAACATAACTGGCCTGAATTCTCTCGCCGAACAACTTTTTCGCTGTTGTCACATAATAAGAGGGAGAGATTAAATTATTGGTGGGATCATAACAGGTCACTGCAAGATTAGATCCCTCACTTCGAAATGTGACTCCAACGGAGAGGATTACTGTCGTCTATGTGAGAACGAAGAGGAGATAGAAACAATTGAACATATCCTCTGTAGATGTCCATCGCTGTGTGGCAGAAGACACAGACAGTTTGGAAGATATGAAATTGATAACCTAGCTTTCTTCTCCAAAATAGACCCCAATCAGATCCTAGACGTTGTTTTAAATTTTGGCATGGCTAAAATAACCACTTTCTGGGCTCTCCAACTTCAACTATTTTTTTTCTGTCTTCCATTCTCTTTTCCTTTCCCTTTTCTTTTCAGATATCAAGGATGATCACAATGGACAAATGTCTCCGAGTGAACGGTTGTAATTAGCAACCGTACATCCCCAATCTAACCTATCAAAGTAGCTCCCATATAATAGTAACCCCCATTATTCGGCATTTTGGGGGTTTTAACAAAGGTTTTTTTTTACAGAATTGGCCCTATGGTTCCGATGGAGTGTCAAATCTACCAAACATCATCAATACCCCATATAACGACGCTACATCCCAAATTTCGGTATTTTGGGAGCTTTGGACACGTGATTCAACCAAAGTTATCTCTTATTTTCAAATGGGATGTTAGCGGGAATCTACTCTATATAATAGACTTTTATTAAATATAAAATAAATTCAAGCACTTGCTTCTATCGATTGTGAATAAATTATTTTAAAATCTACGCATCATGGACTTTTATAGAAAGATGATTTCTTATTAAAAATCCATATTATATCTTTATTAACAACTAAGCTCCTCCATTGATCTTCTATGGTGGATCATTTATATTGGTTACATTTATACAATTCTATTAACTCTTCTAAAACTTTACAAAATATGTTCGATTTTTTTTCTGCTGCCGTTGAAACTCCATTCCATGGTCTTATATAAAGGAAATGACTACATAGACAAGGCTTTCTACAAATCATTTATATTTAAAATCCCAATGTTATCCTATTAGATACAACATTCATTAAACAGATTACACTTTTAAGAAGTAATTTTTACAAACCGAATCTTTAATTCCTCTAACAAACTCCTCTCAATCTATTAATTCCTATTAACAACATCTTAAATCTCTGCAAATGCGACAACTTAAAACACAACTGTCACACTGTAAAAACTATCAACAACAGCAACTCAATTTTACATTAAAGATATCACATTACATTCTCCACCTCCATAACTTTCCACTGACTGACTAACTGACTGCAACCAATCACTCACTTACCTTATGTATGAAAACTTCAAATTTAATACGCGGATTAACTTTATATGCCTTTATGACGGTATTCTTAAATTTCGTCAACGCTTCGTTGTAATCATCCTTTGCATCGATCACGAACACCAACGATCCGCAATTGCCAAATATCATATCCGAATCGAATGTGGGATCAATGAAATCAATTTGTCCCGGAAAATCCCAAATTGAAAATTGTACAAAACTTGAATTGTTAATATCGTCTTTGACAATTTTACTGGTCGATTCCAGGAACAGTGTTTCGTTGGGTGACATCTTGTGGAAGACAACTTTTTGTATTGAAGATTTGCCGGAACGTCGTAGACCCATTAAGAGAATACGTGGCTTAGAATCGGCATCGGAACCCGTCATCCCTGACGAATCCAAACCATCCTGATCGAATGCTCCGTAACCATATTCCTTTGGAAAGGTATCCACATGATAGTCATCGTCTTCGTAACTCTACAGAACAGAACAGAGAAAAAGAAAAACCCAACAATGAAAAATTCGTTTTTCTTAATGCGTAGCAGCAGCAACATCTGATATGGTGGCCCAGCGTTTTCATACGATGGGTGTTATCATCATCATTCGCACTGCAACAATTTTTTCCGGACCATTCCTTCTTACCATTTTGACAGAGCTTGTGGGATGTCAATCTTATTTTACACTGCAGGCATTTAAATTGTTTTTGTCTCGTGCGCTGTTTTGCTTTGTTGTGAATCGGGTATTTATGTTGAAATGTTTGTTTATTTATATTTTTTCAGAGTAGTTTTTGTTCAATCACCTGAATATTTTTGAGATATTAGAGATGGTATGGAATCGATTGGAAATTTCGATAGTTTTCTGATTTGCGGTAATATCGAAAAATAGTTAATACTATCGATAATAACGGTTACTTGCTAAAGACTTAAATAATGTTTATATGAAGCAAAAACACTTGTCTATTTTCAATATGTTTTAATGATAATTTGCACCATGTACCTCAGTATATTGCATGGTCTATATAAGGTCGGAAAGTAAAGACAGCTGAGTATAAATCACATTTGGACTATTTCAAGATTTTAAACATGTCACAATGAATAGGTAGTCCATTTAGCGCAGTTGATGTCTTGATTAACTGTCAAAGTGGATAATTTCTACTTTAATTCGATGTGCAGTGTTGCCAACCATTTGAAATATTATAGGAAAATTTTGACAAATAATCGAGACAAAAACGAAAGTTTTTGTTTTGATACACGACCTTATTATTGCATCATGACTTTAAAGAACATTTTTCAAGTAAATGATTGGTATGTTCCCGTACTGCAAGAATCTACTATATTTTACTATTTTCTTCCATATCATAAAGGAAAATTCGTTATTGTAGTAAAAAGTAGTAGATTCTTGCAAATACAACACAATTATAAATTGTGTTGTGTTTTTTATTTTAAATATAAAAAGGCAAAATGATTAGTTTTCGCAAATTAGTTTTAGTTTCAGCAAATAATTGATGTTAAACTTAATAGAAACAGCTGTTTTCTCTATGAATTCGCTTACTGGCCGACCTTATGTAGGTCTTGCGATTTCTTCAACTAATAACATTTGTGTGAGATCAAGAGTTTTATAAGACCTATCGAAATAATCTTGATTTTCACATATTAATTCAGTCGAGTAGTCACACATCTTCTATAGAGGTTTAGGCGGAGCTTATGCAAAGAGCCTTTTTGACGCTGTCACGCATGAACAAAATCTTTGATAAAAAAGAGATCGTTGAACCGGTGACTATCTTTGTAGATAGTCAAGCGGCTCTTGAAGCCATCAAATATGAGGCCGTCCTCAAGAGTAGAACACTTTTGGAAGAACTTAATTACAGATATCGGCTGTGTTGGGTACCAGGACATCGTGATATCATGGGTAATAAATGAGTAGACGAATTAGATAGACGAGGATATCAATCTACAGATCTAACAATTGATGGCTCAATCAAAACACCCATAAGTCATCATTATCGGAATTTTGAGGCATTCTTCGACGAAAGAGGCAATGAACTTTGGTACAACGAACCTATGTGCAATGCGTCAAGATCTATTTGGCCGACTCTTTCTACCAACAAGACACACTCACTGTTGAACCTGAGCAAAGCTGAAATAAGAGTAATGACAGGAATCATTACTGGTCATTGCAATATTAGGGTCTTTACCAGTAAATGGGACCATGATGTTACTGATTACTGTAGAAATAAAGTTGAAACTCTGTGCTTCAGAACGTCTCACCCAAGTGTTTCACAGTAGAATCGGTCTCATGTATCTTCTTATATACCACATTCGCAGTTCTATGTAATTATGGCGACCATATTTTGAAAATGAAAATAGATTACAAAAAGAGAAAAGTTTATTATTAATGAAAATAATAGTATGTGTATAAAACGTACCTTCTGATTTACTTTTTTATATAGAAATTAAGTTAAAAAGTCGTTAATTTTTCCAAGGATATTTTGCACCTAATAGGCCACAATGAATAGTAAATTACATTCACTTTTGAAGGAAAATTTTTGTAAAATTAAACAAAAAAAAATTAAAAGCTGGACACTTAGAAACATAGAACCCAAAATATCAAAATTTCCACCAATTCGGTTGCAAAACGTGTCCAGGAATCCTTAAAATACGAGAACTTAATAATTAATATTTTTATAATATTTTTTTTATTGTTACCCAATTAGAACTCAAAATATAAAAAATTGGGATAATTGGGTTGGAAAATTTGTCTAAAAATCCTGAAAATACCTATTGCACTGAAATTTCATAAACTTTATTAATTTGTTTTAATTTGCAAAAATTAATATGGATCAAGGTTTTAAAAATATAGATGGCAAAGATGACGGATTATACAAATAGATGACAGATAGAGGACATACATTTTATAGATGACAACCAGTTAAAATAGATGATTGTCCTCTCAAAAATGATTTTTGGGAGTAAAGGTGAAGACAAAATGGTGTTTGTGCCTAGATATGATAATGAAAAAATAGTAAACATTAGTAGATTGCCCTAAAGGCGAAAATTAATTCTTAGCACGAAAGTACTGTATAGGTATCCATAGTGAGTTCTAGGGGACTCCTTTCAGTACTAAGTGACCATAAAGACAACCCACTCTTCAATACGTATTAAATTTTGCCCCGATATTCCATAAAAAGATACAATAGTTTTCGTCCTCTATAAATAGAAGATTCATCTATAGATAAAATGCTCTCTACCGCACAAATCTTATACCGGACATTATTCAATAGAATTGTGTAAGCAAAATATCTTCAAAATGTCGTCAATAACATTTTGAATGTCCTCTACAGATACAAGGCAGTCCAGACGTCTTATGTAGATAATCTTCTAGATTATTTTCTAAAAAACTGAAGTAATTTAGGTAGATCATACAGGTTAAAGACCTACTTTAGGTTCCTATTGCCATTGAAAATATTTTGTTCCCAATCTTCTTCTATTAAAGAGGTTCTAACAGTCCTCAGCAAACGGAAGAATCTTGAGATTTCTTTTAGAAAAAATGTTTATTTATACCTTTACATGATTTCCCTTAAATTCAAGACCTTTCTCCAAATATCAATGATCTTTGTAATATCAAACATTCGTTTCAATATCAATTACTAATTTATTATTTGTATTAAAACTATTTAGAACATCAAAAATAATGGAACAATCTTTAACAAATTCACACACTTCACACAGCAAACGGTTGATCTTTGCCATCTTCATGATATTTAATATAGGTTTCGCCGTGTGTAAAATCTTTTGTACCCTCCAAACGGCCACGAGGCGGTGCCTTGGTATAATCGAATGCCTTCTCCGATTTACCAAACATACGATTGGCTTCCTCAATTTGATCACGATATTTACCAACTACTACCGATTTGCCGGTAATAGGATCTGTTATGTCACCAAGTGGATAAACAACTTTTTCCACTTTATGGGTAATAAGTCGGGTCAGACGTTCGGGTAATTCGCGTATCAGAACAACATCACCGGTCTTGCAAACCTTCTCGGGATCGTGGGCAAATAGGAATTCATCTTTTTTGAAATACTGTAAAGAAAATATTGTATGGGTTAAAAAAAACACAAGAATTCAGTGTGGTGATTAGTTGATGACCACTTACCATATTCAAATTCTTGTCCAATTCCATGCGACGTATGCGGATTTTGGAGGCATTAGCTTTGACACAGGGCATACATTGTCCCAAGAGTAGTAAATTTCTGGCTGACATAATTTTTTATTGAATATTTGTGTGAAATTTGCTAACAAGATTATGAAAATCTGAAAAACTGCAAAAAAGCAAAACAATGTGAGAGTAGAGATGGTAAGTTATTGATGGGTCTTTATCGTTGGAATCGAAAGTACACGGTAATTATCGATAACAATGATTTATTTGTTGTGTTATGTTTACAGGAGGCAAGTTAATATATGTATGTAAATTTTTTAACAGGTGTGGAATAATAAATATAATTTGAAGAATTAAGCAAATTTATTGACAATAAATTGGTGCCTTGTGGTTCTGTGCATGGTACAATTATTCAAGGTAGGCCATAGCAACTTACAAATAACAATTTTTTTCATATTGTGGCTTGTTATGCCAAAGTCATATACAAAATGTGTGACTGCGTATGTAACATTTTGAAAAATATAGAAAATATGTGTTCCAAAATCCATTTGTTCAAAGATGAATTTTGCTACATTGGTAAGAAGAAATAATTGATTTGTGAATGAATCCATGTCTAAATCATATCGAGCCTTGTTGCATTTGTTTTTATTTATTCTGACATTATAGCCCACAAGGTAGAGCTGTATTTTCTCTTTGTTGACAAAAGATATGACAAAAGAAACGAAGGGGCATAGAGAGATGATAAGCTTACAAGGAAGTATGAAAAGGTAAGTATGAGATAGTATCGATGGCTATAGATATCGGACATAACAAAATATTACGTGCCAAGGTTACACTTTCCCAACTACTTTAGGTTTCTAAGATTGCTGTAGATTAGAGCAGGTTCCGTTGTTGAGAAGAAACTAAGACTCGGTGGAAAGAGAGCACCCAGTAGTCTGTGTCGTCTGTAGGCCAGGACTGGGCAGCGACACAGGAGATGTTCAATTGTCTCCGTCTCCCCTTCGTCAACCCAGAGTATACAGTAATCAGTAACATCATGGTCCCATTTACTGGTAAAGGCCCTGATATTGCAATGACCAGTAATGATTCCTGTCATTGCGTTCAGAGATGCTTCTGGGGTGCTACTCGCGATTCCAGTTATTAGAATCGAGGCGGCTCTCTGTACCTTATCTAGTTTGCTGGATGTCGACTTGTGGCGTAGGCAGTTATACCAAACAAGAGAACCATAAGAAAGGATGGGCCTTACCACGGTGTTATACAACCAGTGTATAGTCGATGGTTTTAGCCCCCAACTTTTCCCAATATAATTCTTGCAGCCCTCTCTTCGCCCGTTCCTGTTCCATGGTAATTGATAATCCAGGATTGTGCCAAGGTATTTTGCTTCGGGTGATAGATGAAGCAGCACTCCATCCAGTGTTGGGGGAGCAAAGACGCCGTGCTTACGCTTCCTAGTGAACATTACCAGTCCCGTCTTTGTTAGGTTTACACA